AGTCCAGTGCACGACGAAACAGAGACAACAGTTGTTCCTCCCAGTCAGCTTAATTGGAACTATTAAAATAAATCTTAATTGATTAAATATAGCTTCAACTCTGTAAAACCTATTTAAATTTATTTGACCGTCATACTAAACAGCTACAGAAACGACAGCTCAAACTACTGAAACCACTGGTCCAATGACGACGCAAGAAACGACTGTCGAGGCTCCAAGTAAAAATTATTTTAATCGAAACGTGTCTGCCAACAAATTTGATTTGATTTTCACACCTGAAAACATTGTTTCGTTTTAATCGTATTTCAGCTACTGCTTCTCCACCTACTGAAGCTCCGACAACTGTTACAACCAAGGAAATCGAAACATCAAGTCCAGTGTCAACGACAGAAACAGGGACAACAGTTGTTCCTCCAAGTCAGCTTATTTGGAACTATTAAAATAAATCTTAATTGATTAAATATAGCTTCAACTCAGAAAAACCTATTTAAATTTATTTGACCGTCATACTAAACAGCTACAGAAACGACAGCTCAAACTACTGAAACCACTGGTCCAATGACGACGCAAGAAACGACTGTCGAGGCTCCAAGTAAAAATTATTTTAATCGAAACGTGTCTGCCAACAAATTTGATTTGATTTTCACACCTGAAAACATTGTTTCGTTTTAATCGTATTTCAGCTACTGCTTCTCCACCTACTGAAGCTCCGACAACTGTTACAACCAAGGAAATCGAAACATCAAGTCCAGTGTCAACGACAGAAACAGAGACAACAGTTGTTCCTCCAAGTCAGCTTATTTGGAACTATTAAAATAAATCTTAATTGATTAAATATAGCTTCAACTCAGAAAAACCTATTTAAATTTATTTGACCGTCATACTAAACAGCTACAGAAACGACAGCTCAAACTACTGAAACCACTGGTCCAATGACGACGCAAGAAACGACTGTCGAGGCTCCAAGTAAAAATTATTATAATCGAAACGTGTCTGCCAACAAATTTGATTTGGTTTTCACACATGAAAACATTGTTTCATTTTATTTGTATTTCAGCTACTGCTTCTCCACCTACTGAAGCTCCGACAACTGTTACAACCAAGGAAATCGAAACATCGGGTCCAGTGTCAACGACAGAAACAGAGACAACAGTTGTTCCTCCAAGTCAGCTGTTAAAATTTTTATATATTAAAACCTATACTCGGTGGTAAGTTGTCATCACTTTCAAACCATTACGCTGACTAAATTAAAATCGTTCATATTCATATGGAAAACATTTTGATATCTTTATATCATATTAAATTCATTTCCTTTTTTAAGTTTTTATATCTAAATGCGTTGCAATGAACAAGTATAATCCTATATAATGCCATGAATTCATTGATGAATAATTTCAATTTTTGTGGCAAGTTTTTGTAAAATCGTGTATCTCTGTTTTCTACATCTATAACTTCTCTATTTCCTCAGAAACTACAGTCGGTCTTTCGACATATACTACTCCCCAAGTTTGCGTTGTTTCGTACGTTTCTGAGTTGCAATTCCTACTTCCAAGCTCGATCATTGGTTGGATCGAAAAAGGTTTTTTTTAATCCATTTTATTTTTTATTTTGTCCAACATCTTTGTTTTTATTTATTTTATTGTTATTTATATTATTGTTGTTGTTTTTTTTAATTATTATATACTTTAAAATCTGCCTCCAGTTTCATATTAACATTTCCTGATTTTTTTTAATATTAGAAATTTATCCCTCAGAAAAATTCTTTTTTTTCTTGGTTCTATTTTTATAAATCAAACCATTCGATCAGTAAAAAAATATATAAATTTCGAAATCATTCGTTTAAACTTAACTCTTTATTTATTCTCAATTTTAAAAATAAATCATATGCCGAATAACTTTAATATAAGTTAGTTGATGAGCATATATAAACCTATACATGTGTTGGTGCGTGTGTGTAAGTGTTTGTGTGTGTGTGTAAGTGTTTGTGTTGGTGTTTTTACACAATTTGATCTTCTTTCTTGTTTGAAAATAGATGGCAAGGAGGGCAAGACAGATTCCAATGAAGAGGTTCGCGTCGGAGATCACTTGCACCCAAACGTAATCGTCAATATCAACAACTGCCTCGTCTGGTTGGTGTCTTTTTTGTACGGCGTTTTTGGCTTGTTCCTATTTATAGAATTTTGATTCCGTGACTGTGAAACGGTTTCTGCGTTTGTCAGATCCTGACTATTAAAGAATAATATAAAAAAATCATTTTTTGGTCTATTTTATAATTATCTATTGATTTAGTGATTTGAAAGTTTTGTTTCATCGTTTATTTGACACAATGTTGGCGAACGAAATTTTCACTAAACAGTTCGTGCGATGAGAATGGAGATTTCAGTTGCCACGTTAGTGTTCGTTATTGGGATTTTTCATTGAAAGTTTATAGAAAAAAACTTTGAGTTTATATTAAAATTAAATTAAAATTTATAGAAAGAAGAAATAAAAATTGTCACATTACATAGCTACATTACATTAATTAAATTAAATTAATTAATTTACAATTAATTCAGGCTGTTACAAAAACTGAGCCGAAGGAAACTGACACGTGCATAAGCCATTACTGTAGTGATACGGGCGAAGAAAAGATCTACAACATGTCACGTAGCTGTTTCTGCAAAGCTGTACGTTCCCCCTCACCTGACTGCAATTTCCAGTTTTTAAATAATAACAAATAATAAACTAATTCTCTCTTGGAGACTATTACAACAAACATCCAGCGAATCGAAACATCTCACACTCTGCAGGGATTCCTTTACAATTGAACCCGTACACTGCATCAACACTGTCAGGCACTTTAACCATTACACTACATATTCGCGTCGCCTTTGACTCCAGTATGACAGAAGGAAAGATTGGCAACCTTGGCGCTATCCACATTCTATTGTAACATCGTCCAGTTAGACTCCAGTTCCAGATTCTAGTGTTTATTTAGTTAAACAAACGGTTGAACCCTGAGGGTACAAATTAAGATTAGGAAATATCGAGGTCACCATGCTGTTGTGTAGTGATAATATTGTCGATACCTGAAATTTAAGGGCATTCCAAAGGAATGGTAGTAGGTTGAGCGATTTTTTATTACTTCGAGTCGTTTATTTCAAAAGATTTGGTAAGGAATAAATTTTAAACTCAACCCCACAGAACGAGGACATGGTAGTAGATGACTACCCGAACTGCTGCAAATGCATTCCATCCTGTTAGAGTTTCCACTTTTTTCCACCTAACTATAATTTTTTCCATTTCCGAAATATCTAAAAAAAGCGTATAATTAACTTGATAGATAACCTGTTTTTGTACATTATCATTCGTGTGCTCCAATGTTTCAGTTTGTTTGGAAGGTTTGCAGACAAATAATAATGATCAACCAGTTCGAGAATGAATGAGCGAATGAATGAATGAATGAGTGAACCCGACCATAACCCAGCCATCCCTCCATCAACCTGTTCTGCGCACTCGAAGAAAGAGTTCGTAGTCTTCCCATACCAAGATGGCCACTGTCAGAGCGATGACGTCATCAACAGGACTTCCTGTTATGGCTACTGTCAAGGAAACGTCGACAGTGGCGACATCAGGCTGCCCGGAAGCGATACGTTGCTTCAACAAGATGGAAGCTGCGAATGCTGCACTCCGACTGACGGCTCTTGGTTATCTTTATGGGTGAGTGGGAGATTTGTTGCTATTTCTTTCATTATCGTTATTAGTCATTTGTTCTATTTGTTCATCTTTTTCATCTGTTCATTCGTTCACTCGCGCATTTATTGGTTTTTTTGTTGGCCTGCCTTACAAGAATTAATACAACTACAAATACGAATCTCTCAACCATGTTTCCCTCTGAAAAAATTGACACCCATTGAAAGGTAACCTGTTACAAACCACTCGGTGCCGTGCCAACATCGAACGCTGTGCCTGCGGTCAACAACATGGTGGTATCCAGATTGCAAGTGGAGTATTATCTCATCAGCCAGTGTTCCTGTCACAGTGCGGGTCAGTTCTGAGGATTATTTTCCATTCTTTTCATAATTCTACATTAAGATTCTTGACGATGAATAGACTCTAATCTTTAAAGATTCATTATTGCAGATTCCTCAGCTTTTAGAGTTTAACAATAAGAAGGGTATAATAAACGTATGAGCTGTGAAATCTTCTGAATATTTGTAAAAAACATTATATTTTTCAATCGCTTAATTTTGTACAATTCTATACGTCATTAACTATTACAGAATTATTATTATTTAACAATAAATTTATTGCTATGTTTAAATTAAAATTTGATAAAATGAAACGCGTAAAAGCACCACAACTTATACAATTCTGACGGGCGAACGTTTGTTTCTACCCAACAGGGGCTAGATGATGGAGACACCGACAGAAGAAGACAAGCTGAAAGACATTTAAATTAATTTAAATTTTTTAAAATTATTTAACGAAATTATTATCTTACCTTGAGAATATTATTTAAGGTATATTTTTTATTCATAAATTATAATTATTAACTGTTCAAACTCGTTTCATTATTTAGTCAAATTGAATGATTTATCCAATAACTTCAACCTCCAATCTTTCAACTGCATTTTATTTAACAATTTTAATTATTTAATTCAATTTACTGATCTGATATAAAGAATACTTGAATTGTTATTTATCGGAACCCATATTTTGAATGAAAATTCGCTGGATTTCAATTTATTTCAATTCGAACCAAGTTTGAAATTGGTTCTGCTACTTTGAGATTTTGAAATATATATACACATATATATATATAATTCTGCAGATACGGGTCTATGTGTTGAATCTTATTTACAATTATTTATTCTGTTTGGCTTCCTAATAAATAAATTAATTAATTAAAACAGGGTCACGAAATGTTGAGAGTTTATAAAAAAATTGTAGGTGCAACTATGAGAAGTATATCAGACAACATTAGGTACTTTTCATTAAACTAGTCAGTCAATCCATCAAATCAAACGAATCAATCTATCAATCAACCAACCAATCAATCATCATCGTCGTCATGGTTGTTGCTGCTGCAACAGCTGAATGACGTGTTCATAGACGAGGAAGGTTATACAGCAAGCGGGCGTGACCTTCGTGACCCCGGGGACCAAGCCCTTGAAAAACCCCCGCCAGCCTTCGTAGCTTAAACATCATAAAAAAAAGTTCACCGCTGTTATAATGATTAATGTTTTCAGTATTATAAATATCGTCACTATAATTATAAACGCTTACTTAAACACACGCACGCACGCACACAGGCACAAACACACATATATCCTTACATAAACACACACGCACAAAACACACACATATCCTTAAACATACACACACACACACACACACACACACACGCAAAAAGACACACACATTCTTACATAAACACACACACACGCAAAAACACACACATATTCTTACATAAACACACACACACACGCACAAATACCCAGCCAAAGAAAAAAAAAAAAACCCTCACCGATACGTCTCCTTGAGAACGTGCACAACCCCATTATACTTTCTATGCTGGTCCTGCAGCCTGGATCTAACCACTTGGTAAGGGTAGGTCGTGGAGGCTGCGAAAATTTTAGAAATGGCCGCAAAACATAAGTACTCCTTTGTGCCCTAAATGAATGAATGAATGAATGAATGAATGTATGAATGAATGAATGAATGAATGAATGAATGTATGAATGAATGAATGAGTGAGTGAATGATTGATTTAATGATTGATTGAATGATTGATTGAAAGGGTGAACGAACGAACGAATGAATGAATGAATGATCGAGTAAATAAATGAATGAAGGAATGAATAAACATGTCGGACAGCGAACCAGTTTAGCGTCATGAGGACGTTGCTTTGAGGAGTTGTAAAATTTTTTAAGTTCTTCGTAGGCCATAAACTGCAGGGCTCCATGTGAGACTCCCACCAACCCCGGGACTAACCCCTGAGGAGGATGACGACGATGACGATGATGAAAAACAAACACAAAAAAACACACACACATAAACATACACACACACACACAAAACCACTGACCTTGTAGAGGCCGGCTATACCTTCGTATTTGTAAGTTTTCACCAGACAGTCAAGCAGACCTCTGTAGTGTCTGCTGTCATTCTTGCTGAACTGCCTCCTGGCCGAGTTCGTCTGGTCGTATTGCAGGCACAGCCTCGTCTTGGCCACCCAGATTGGGTTGGTGGTCAGGAGTGTGAAGATTCCTGATAGTGATGTTGTCGAGATGATGATGATGATGATTATGATGACGGTGGTAATGATGTTGTCGAGATGATGATGATGGTTATGATGACGGTGGTGATGATGTTGTCGAGATGATGATGATGATTATGATGATTTGATTTGGTAAATAAGTGATGGAAATAATTGCGTGTATGTGTATGTATGGACTTATGAGGCTCTTCTTTTGTTACTAATGCATATTTAGAAATATTTTGTTTATTAAGTGATATTTTGTCGTTGTTTTATCTGGGTGGCCCTACAAGTGCGAGCTTCGGGTCTCCTAGCAAATAACATAGGTTTTTTCCGCATATGTTTGCTGAATAAAAGGATTATTGAATTGAGTTGAATTGAATGATGACGGTGGTGATGATGATGACGACGAAGGAGGGTGGGTACCTACCGGCTTGGGTGGCCATCGACATGTGGACGTGGGCGTTCAGGGCTATGTCCCTCCTTCCATTCTGCCTCCGAGATTTTAACGTGTTATATCTGACGTGATGATGACAACGACGATGTGGATGTTGTTGATGATGTTGATGATGACTGTGTTGTTGTTGATGATGATGATGTGATGATGATGACGATGATGTGATGATTTTGATGACGACGAAGACGAAGACGTAGATGATGTGGATGTTGTTGATAATGATGATGACGATGATGATGCTGACGAAGAAAAAGAGGAAGAGGATGATGATGGAAAGAAAGTATAAGGAAGCTGGATAGGAACAAATTAACCAAAAAGATGTATGTAAAACCTCATCCAACAACTTGTCTTACGTCCTTGAATTGTCAATAAGAATCTACCAATTCACACTTTCATCAATCCATCCATTCAACAAACCATTATGTAATCATCCTGTCATTCATTCATCCATCCATTCATCGATCCATCCAATCATTCATTCATCCATCAATCATTCTATCCATTCATATAACAACAATCAACCCATGCATTAATACACTAACGCGAAAAAATATAGGCCCCAGGCCGAGCCAGCACCCACAATGTTTGGGACAGCTCCTTGGTACAGCCCCCTGAGACCCGCTACCCTAACTATAGATACACCTGCATCAAGCATGCCCTTGTATTGGGGTCGTACCACTTTTGGAAGGGGGTCCAAGTTATTTGTTGTCGTTGTTGTTTTGATGGGGGCATTGTTGTTGTTGTTGTTGATGGAATGGAGTGATGGTTGTTGGCTGGTTTTGCCTTCATTGACTGTTTAAAGAAATGAATTTTTTTAGTTGTTGTTGTTGTTGTGTGTGTGTGCGTGAGTTTGTATTAGTATGCGTGTGTCTGTGTGTGTATGTATGTAGTAGAATGTGCGTCTGTGTGTGTGTATGTGTGTGTGTGTGTGTGTGTGTGTGTGTGTGTGTGTGTGTGTGTGTGTGTGTGTGTGTGTGTGTGTGTGTGTGTGTGTGTGTGTGTGTGTGTGTGTGTGTGTGGGTTCGTTTGTGTAGAAGCATGTAAAGTTTTGTGAGTGATTTTAATTTTTCAAAGACCCTTAAAAAAAAAATAATGACCTTGAAGCCTGATCTTGATAAGGTCAAGAGGGTGAAGGACGACAGTCGAGATGACTCCACCGCTGACACCGGCAACTAAGTGCTCCCACTTAATCGATGAAATTAGTGGACATTGTTTAAGGTTGAAAAATTTTTGCCGAAGTAAAGAAGTTGTGGCGGACGGGTTTGGTGAACTGACTGAGGCCGTAGGAGACATGTGAAGTGAGGTGTGGTGTGGCGTTGTGTGGCCCTCCTCGATGGGATGGCTGGATGGGTGTAATAAAATGAGTTAAAGGTGTACGATGGGTATGCTATGCATCAACTCTTAACGTCACATTTACATTACAATTAGACATCCTTTGTCAATACAACATTTTTTTTTTGGTAAAATTTATAGTATAATTATTATACTATAAATTTTATTCATTATATTATATTATACTTATATTATACTATAATATAATTATACTACTACTAAAAACTACACTATATCACAATGTTCATATCTGCCAGTTAGTAGAATTCCTAGGCTAATCTAATTCAGTATTTGCTAGTTAGAGTTAGGACAACACATAACTTTACTTAACTTATTATATTATATTATATACTAATAATAATTTATTATACTTATATAATTCTAGTCTAGAGATATACTAGACCTAGACAGACACTAAATGACTAAACTAAAAAAATTAAATATAAAGATAAAATGATAAATTAAATAAAAATAAATATATATATACTTTTATATAGCATACTAATTACATATTAGATGTCTCGTGTGTAGTGCTGTGTGTGGGTTAATCACCTGTTTAGTTCGCTTCGTTGTTTGCAGTTCTCAGTGGTTTGCCCTCTGGTTCTTCTTAAATCTTAAGAGTTAAACACTTTAACAGTTAAGGGGTAAAAAAATAAGCCAACAACCCGTCTGAACCCGATTATTTCATTCAGTTTTGCGGTAAAATATAATAATTTAATTTAATTTTTTGTTAAATTTTGGAATGATTTTTATTAAACAATTTAAATTTTCGAGACATTGACGTGAATTCTGTACTATCACACATGGTAAGCAGCCTTTGAAATTGGTTAAAAGTTAATTTAGTTGACAATTTGTTTTGTACATTTAAAAGTGACCATTGAGTTATAAGTAGGAATTAAAATGTTTATATACATACGTTAGGAGCATACGCTTAAAATTCAATATAAAGTACCAAAGGGAGGCCTATTTACCAGCATACAAAACCTTCTTATGGGTTGAAGCAGGGATATGCAAAGAACCTCAATTTTTTCAACTTTTAATTATTTTCAATAATGTCTACCCTTGCTCCAAACCACATAAAACTAGAATAATAGGACTAATCGATCAATTCGATCTATCGGTCGGGCTATTTGTCGTGCTTGGATTGTTGGCTTACGAAATTGCATAGATTTTAACGAGCAAGCTAAATGAAATATTTACTTCATTTAATATGCTTAAAACATTGTAGTAATTCTATTTAATTTTAATAATGATAAATAGAATTATGTATTATTAAATTATTTTTGTTAATTTGAATATAAAAATTGCTTTTGGTCCGGTGAAATCCGGTGGCTTACTGAAGCCGAAGGTTGGCTTAGTAGGATTGAACTATAGTAACCCTTTTTTTTACACTATTCGATCATGTTAAAAATTGGTTTGCTTATGAAATAAACGGCCTAAATAAATCAAAATTGTTATTTAAACAACTATCTTCATTATATTCAATGAATAGTTTACACTCTGCTGGTGCTCATAAGAAACTGGCTGCTGAAATCATACGTTGGCTTACAGCAGTGGCTTACAGGGTTTCATAGAACTCTTACGATAGCACTTTTTTGTACATATAATGCTTTAAATAAATCAATATATTCATATCACAATTATTTTTGTCAGTACTATAAATATAGAAATTGCTTTTGTCAGGTGAAAAACAGTGGCTTACTGAAGCCGTAGGTTGGCTTGATCGGATTTTTTCTCATGTATACAATAATATGAGATAAATCAATCAAACAATCAGTCGGTCGGTCGGTCAACCTGCCAGCCAGCCAGCCAGTCTGTCAGTCAATCAATCAACCAACCGATCAATCAACCGATCAATCAATCAACTAAATTGAATGAACCAAATAAACAAAAATAAAAACAAAAATAAATAAAAAAAATTTGCAAGGCCTGTTCAAACTCGAACAAACAGTTAACCGTACAGATCTACAAACAATTTCGAGATTTTAGTAAAGAAAGAAAAACACAGTAGTTGCTTTTATTTGAATTCATTCAAAAATGAAAAGTGACGGTTAATTAAAATTTTAAAATGTCAATTTTTTTTAAATTCGTATTTTAAATAAACAATTATAACAAAATATCGACCGATAAAAATAATTATTATCCATTGTTATTATTATCATACACACTCCTTAGAAGTTCTCGAAGGATAATAAACCACGTAACATGAACATTTAGTAAGAACAGTTCACAACATATCATAATGACTAAATCAACATAATAAACAGAAATAATTTAACATGCATATATACAAAGTAAATCAAGAAATATCCAAAAATTATATAACCAATTTAAAAAAAACTAGAAACCAGTCAACATTTAATGAATAAATAAATAGACATTATTAAAAAGATTGTTCAAAAAGGTACAATTTAAGGCGACGACGAGAATGAAATGTAGTTTGTTTTGTTGGTGTGGTGTTGTGTTGTGAAGCGGAAACAAACACATCACACAAAACTAGTAAGAAGTCGCAAGAATAATAGTCAGCCACCTACCTATAATAAAATTACTCTCAGGGCCCTAGCTTACTTATAAACATTGACTCAACTCACCTACAAATTTGTATTTCTCGTTTTAGATGTTTCAAGTATTTTATTTAACATATTTTAGCGTTTTTATTTTACTTGAAGCTTTTTAACTAATGTTAAGCCCTAGCCTACCTACAATTGTTTAACTCATCTCAGTCCATAACTTACCTATGAATTAAATTAAAGCCCGGTTCACGGTAAAGAAAATATAAAGTTGAAGAGAAAGATAGCAACAACGACACCGAATGAATGGATGTTGTGTATGTATGTGTTGTATTGATGTGTGTGTATGTAAATGTGCGGGCGCGCACTCTCCAGAAACTTCACTCACTACCGACGAACCTCCATTGCACCGACCATCATCTGACACGCATCGATGGAATGAATTTGACCGGATACTGAAAAATAAATTGAAAAAAAATTAATTTACTAAAATAAAAAACAAGCAATTGGAAAAAATAGGCAACTATCTTTTTGAGATAACACTCAATCTTTGTTCAAATTCGAGTACTTTCAAAGGTACAATGAGACAAAAACAAATTTACCTTTAACATTATCTTCGATTTGTCATCGGAACGATCATCATTAGACCACCATCTGAAACGTGCTGACGCCCACCACAGCCCACCTCTCATCATTCTGTAGACAAGTTTTTATTAATTAGCGAAGTAGTAAATCAAGAAACAAAGGAACGAACGAATAAATGATTAACTGAATGATTGAACGATTGGTTGAATGAATAAATTAACTAATTAATTAATCAACCAATGATTTAATGAATGAATAGAATGAATCAATGAATAAATTAACTGAGAAATAATTTGAAAGATAGTGATAAAATGAATGAATGAATGAGAAAAATATAAAAAAGAAACTAAATCATACTTCAAAAACCGTCGTTGTTGTTATCTTCGAATTGTCATCGGAACGATCATCATCAGACCTCCATCTGAAACGTGCTGATGCCCACCACAGCCCACCTCTCATCATTCTGTAGACATTTTTTTAATAGCGTATTAGTAAATCAAGGAACAAAGGAACGATCGAATAAATGATTAACTGAATGATTGAATAATTGGTTGAATGAATGAGTGAATGAATGAATGAATTAATAAATCAACGATTCAATTAATGAATAGAATGAATTAACGAATTAATTAATAGAAGAATAATTTAAAAGGTTGAGTGATAAAATGAACGAATGAGAAAAATAAAAAACGAAACTAAACCTTACTTCAAAAATCGTCGTTACTATACTTTCCATTGCACCGACCACCACCATCTGGTCGGCACACAAAATACCATCCGAACTTCAGAGTGTCAGTCGAACAGCCAACGAGCTGATTCTACCTACACCACCATCATCATATGTAAATCATCATGAGACCACCGTCTAAAACGTGCTGACTCCCACCACTGCCCACCTCTCATCATTCTGTAAACAAAATTTTTTTATTTGCGTAGTAGTAAATGAATGTTAGAATCTTAGAAGCAAAAAAATAAATTATAAAATGAAAATAATGTCAAATAAATAAAATTTTAAAATAATAAAGTAAGTAAAATGTAAAAAAAAACTTACCGTCGTCTATTCGACAAAGGCAGAATGTTGAATGCTGTCCGGTTCCTACGTTGTCCTCCAAAACTGGTGCCAGTCCTCTTCGAGATTGTTGTTGAAACACAGTCCGTGGAATGGAGAAAGAGAAAATTCTCATCAGAAAGCTTAGCGGTGCCTGCATCTCAAATTGTTTAATAAAAATAATCCTATCTACCTATTCAATTACCTTAACTAATCTATATTAAATTGTTAATGGTACGATAGTCGAAAGTCCCCCTTCATTCTCCCTCCTTGCACAGAGGTCCACCGACAACCAGGGCACCGGATAGTAAACCATTGCCGTGCGGATAGTAGACTACTGCCTTGCGGATAGTAAACCATTTGCCGTCCGGAAGCCGTGCGGGTAGTAGACTATGGCCGTGCCGCATAGTAAATCATTACCGTGCAGATAGTAAACCATTGCCGTCCGGATAGTAAACCATTGCCGGTTCACCACTGGCCACCAAGGCTTACCTCTGACAAGAGACTTTGAAATCCAGAGTCAATCGGCTATCGTACCCTCAACTTACCTATTCATTACAATTAAGCCCTAGCTTACCTAAAATTACAAAACTCAAGAGCCCAATTCATTGGCCTTTCGGCACCCACCCCACCACCTACGTAATGCCTTGGGCTCCAACTTAGTAATAATAATATAAAACTTAAACGCTAAATCTATTAATGAGTATGTGTTACAACGTAGCCTTAACTTACCTATTCATTACATTACGGTCCTAGCTTACCTAAAATTACAAAACTCAAGAGCCCAATTCATTGGCCTTTCGGCACCCACCCCACCACCTACGTAATGCCTTGGGCTCCAACTTAGTAATAATAATAATATAAAACTTAATAATTAACCTACCTATCGATACACTTACAGCGTTTTAATTTACATTACAAGAATTTTCCTAGAATTACATTATTGCCCTTAACTACCTATGAAATTAAATTACTCTCAACCTTAGTAATAATAAATTAGAATGTGTAATGAAAATAAAATTACGCTCAAATACTAACATATGTGTTTATGTATGTATTTGTGTGTGTGTATGTAATACGCTGATGCGTGCAATGTGGGTGTAAGAAAAACATAGAAGAGATAAACTTACGCGCCTACCTATTCAACTACATTAGTGTTGGATGCTTCTTATCTATTCTACCTACAATTAAAATTATGCCTATCTAACCTACCTATATAGCTACTTAATGTAATTGTGTGTATGTGCGTGTGCGTGTGAGCATTCATTCTTACTTAATGTTAAATTACAGAGAAAAACAGAGAAAAAAGAATAAAATGTATCCCAGCCAGGCGTATCTTCTTTGCCACTGAATGAACGAACGTAGCCTGACATTTTCCACGATGAATTCCTTTGGAAGCTTCAACCTGAATAAAATGGATGAAATGGAAAAATCTTATTTATTTGACTAATTTAAATGAAAATAGAAAAACGAGCCGCGGTGAAACCCGCCGGAAAAGTCAGCCAACTGGCAAAAAAAACCGCAAAGAAACCGTAAAACGTACCCCAGCAGGGCGTGCATTTTTTGCCACCGAATGAACGAACGTAGCGTGACATCACAACCTCTCTGGTCGTCCACGATGAACTCCTCTGGAAGCTTCAACCTGGATAAATGAACCTGAAAAACCTA